ATTTGGCGAATTATTTATTACACGTCGCAGGAGCTTAACAGGTCCCATCCAATTTAAGAAAAGTTAGACAATTCCTTCCTTAAAAAAGTAACTAACTTTTCTCCTCAAAAAGTCCATTTCACGTACATGACACACAAAGTGTGCAACAAGCAGTAAGCTGAGAATGAGAAGAAGCCTCATCTTCCGAGAGGAAGCCAGCCAGCTCGTCAATTACGGTCCTTTTCCTCCTCCTCCTCCTTTTTGTTCTCCTTAACACAAAGGCGAACGTCTCATTAACGTTTCTCACTCAATTTCATTTCTTATTACCTGTGCCCCCACGGTTTTTTAACAAATATTAGACGAAATTCGCTCCACCATTAAAAAAGTGGACCACATTTATCGCTGGGGTCGTTATTAAATAATTTTCCGAGTTAAATAAGTAAATTCCGTTGTTTTTCTGGTCGTTCAACTTGGCCAAGGAGTACATAAAACCTTGACGAAAGGAAACAATGTCCGAGTTGGCAAAAACTATCCGCTACTACATTTTAGACAAATAGATATTTTTTTATGCACCGCGTCGATATCGCTCCTTTGCTAAATAACTGTGCTAAACTTGTCCCGTTCCGTTGGTACATATTTACTTATTCGAGTGGATTTTTCCCCATACAAATTGTGACAAATGCTTACTAGTTGACAGAAGAGGGAGAACTATTTTATGAAGGGATCATTTACATGTGGGGGCCGTGCGGGGGAGATGTGTCCGAGTGGAAATCACTGTGTCGGATTCTGCAGTAATATATAAAACCTCGATGGATATTGTATTCTTCTCGATTTTTTTTTACATAATCCTGCCGAAAATTTGTATGGATTTTTTTCTGCAGGCATAATTCTGCACAAATCGGTCTACACTTTCTGCAGAAAATTGGGCCAAATTTCTGCAGGAGAAACCCGTTAAAATTTTTAGTCGGGTATATATAACAATGGATTTTGGTCCATCCAACCCTTCTGCCCCGTTTCGCTTGCACAGCCTCCTCCATCAATGTGCCGAAAGGATCAAAATTCAACTCAGAAACAGAGCGAGGAAGAAGAAATTTAGATTGAAATTTACTGTTTTCCTCGTCAGACAGTCATAATAAATTATTTTGAATTCATGGATCATTGCTCCGCGTATTGTGGAGCGACTTCATTCCACCAGCCCGCAAAGGCAGGAGGATTTCCGTCCGTTCTTCTCCTTGCCTGTGCAGAAAGGACGACGACGAGTAATTTCTACGTTATAATCGAACAGCTTAAAAAAAATCCGTCCCATCGATTTCCCAGAGAATGGTTGTCATTCTAATATTCATGAGATGCAGTGGAATACGTAAATACGGTGAAATTTAGCAGATGTGTCTTGCTGCTTATCTCCTCAGTCAGTCATTTCACATTCCGAACGGATTTCTGTTACACCATTTAATCCCACAGATTACATCACTCAATGTCAATAATTAAACTGGTTGAGTCAAAAATGTCCGCGTAATTGATAGAATTCGTCAATAATTGTGAAATTGATGGACGGCACTGATTGTCAATATTTTTTTGGATGCTACTGTACATCGGATAAGCTGTCAGACGAGACGATCTGATTCAATATGTCGCTCCCTTTCCGGCCAAAACCCAACTTGCGTATTTACATACACGCGTTGTCAATCTCTTAAATAGAGCAGCACGTCAAGTGTTTAGAAGTAAATTGATTGATACACTTTTTTCAAGATTCGAACGGACATTCCCATGACCTAAATGATTGACCCGTGTTTTGGCATTAAATTGGATTACTTTTCGTCATGTCGACTTAAATACTTGTTTTTATTTTAGTCACGGGTTCTTCTTCTTGCCTAAAATAAATATTTTGTGTGTGTGTACGTACATATGTAGGCCTTCCTTCTTTCGGCATGTTTATCCGCTTGGGGAACGAATTAGTAAATCTCCAAAGCTCTCCATAATATTTTAGAGTTTGGGGAGAACGTCGTCCATTAATTTCGAGGGGAAAGTTGGAGGGTTGCGTTGGAGAAAAATGGTTTCCACGCGATGAATGAAGCGTCCTTTAATCCGTTTATTCTTAACAACCCGGATTAGCAGAGCCTCACTAAATATTTTGTGTAATGTGAAGTGAGATGTGTATCGAATTTTGATACGGGTGTATGTAAACATGCCCTAAATACGGTAATTTCTGAGCGTATACGTTTTCCTACTCACTCCAGAAAAGTAACTCAGCTATAAAATTGTTTCTTAGTGTTGAGCACTTTGCATAAATACATTATCAAGCCGAGACACATTGTTTATAAGGAAATGAAGTCAAGGGTGCGGGGGAAGAGAGGGGGCCTTGCAGACGGGATGGGGCATATTCCCCTGAGACGGAGGGGTCTAAAGTGGTCTTATCCTTGGCGCATGACCCTCGTTAAGTTAAATTATTCATATCTTGCCAGAAAAGAGTGCACCGAATGTAAAGTTGCGTAACAAATAATTTTAATTTTACGACTGGGTTTGGTTCTCAGCAAGATTTAAAGATCACTTAAAAATTTCGTCTTCAAGGTACTTCCTCTCGGATATGGTATTGCACTTGCATAGTAAGCAGAGGGTGGATATGTATTTACGAAAAATCGTAGGGAAACATGTACTTTAATAATTACGAAATATACATGAGAAAACAAGAAGAATGAGAATTTTAGAAAAAATTAATAATTTTGAATTTAATCTTAATTTTGAATATTTTTTGTGGTGTAATTACCTCGAGCCAAAAATTTCGTCTTGTCACATCATTGAAATATTTACAAACTACGTGTATTTTTTGGAAACATATCTAAAGATTTACGTATTTTTTAAAATAATAGCGGAAATAGTTGTTTCTAAAAGCCTAGAAATATGCACATAAAAATTGAAATTTTTGTGATCTATAAGAGTTGAGAACACACGCAAAGTTTGATCATCGTTCGTCATTGAATGAAAGAGTTGAAAATACATACATATCCGCGCAGTGGACTAATAATGGATTCACTTAGATGAGATGCAGGCGTGCATCTCATGTATGTTCTAGTTAATATTCACGAGCCAGAACACTAGCTGTCCTTTAATTATTTAAACAAGTTGAAGGATCCGGATTCTTCTGGTATAAATAGGAGTAGAATTAGAGGTCGGGTAATGCAAGGGGACATGCGAGAAAGCTGTGTGACCTCTGTTTCGTACAAGGTCATCAGAGAAAGAGGGGTCAAATTAAAGTTAATAATATATAAATTCTGGCTTGTTTGAAATTTAATTTGTCTCATTTTGGGGATAGCTTGTACCACAGAATTTTTGAAAACTATTTTTTTCTCTTGGTAATAAATTGATCATTTACTTTGTTATCAATTTGGTAACGATCTCGTAAGTAGAAAATAAAATTCTATTTCCACGTACGCACACAAATTGCAACTTCATACTCTCGTTTTTCAAGCTTATAGAAATTTGTGGATAAAATAGTGAGAAATTTTAATACCGAATTTCTTAAAACCCATTTTTCTCCTCGTAATAAATTGGTTATATACTTTGTTACCAGTTTGGTAACGATTTCTCAAGTAGAAAAAAAAACTCTATTTTCACGTACTTACACAAATAACAAGACAAACTTTTTCCCTGCTAGGATAATAACAACGTCTCAAAAATGTCTCTGTTCTGTTCCACTACACAGATACTTGACAAAAAACTCGTCCTGGAGATCAGACCACAGAGCAAATATACTTTTAAGGAATTGTACACGCAGACATATGTACATGCATTATGAAAATGAATTTCATCTCATTTGTAAAAGAAACTCTTAAAAGTTGAGAGTTTGTTTCATCCATCAATCTCAACTGCGTCAAGAATTGTGTGTATCTTGATCTCACGCTGTTGCGTCAATATTTATTTTTATTTCCTTTTCAGACCAGAAAAGACTTCAACTCTCGACTCGACGGAAATCAAAATTGGGTTTACTTTCGCCTAAAGGAGAAACCACTTTGGTGAAGCAACCCGCCGACAAAAATGTGTCGTGTTTTTTTCCACCCAACCCAAAAATAGTGGGTTGTTCGTTCCTTACTCGTTCTTCTTCTTCTCCTCTTGTGTTCTTCTTGTCAAAGTGTGATTGCTTTGAGAGCGGAAAACGCAATGTTTTTGAGGAACGACAAATACGATCCGAAATCTCATCGAGAATAGATTTGCAGAATTTCAAAGGACGACCAGGGTTTTAGAAGTACGAGAGTCGAGGTTTCAGGCAGTCTGACGTAGCAATTTTACCTCTGGGGAATGAAGTGGATCTATTTTCATCCACTTGACGTACCCAAGATCAGAATGAAATATATTTCATACCGAAAAATCAAGGGGTTCCTATCTCATGTGCAAAATTAAATGGGTAAAATTCAACAGATCAAGCATTTCCGTCCATTGGGGACAAAATTGGGTGAAAATGGACTAACTTTGTCTCCTGTGTTTCAAGATCAGCACGAAAACTACATCGTTTCTACCCTGACCATGAAAATGAGCATATCGTCATCCCCACAACGACATGACTGAAAAACTGTCTCAAACTTTCCGAATTTCGCAGGATCACTACGAAACGAAACCCTGTATGCACATGAGAGGCAATCTGTACGTCGCATGTGGCAAAAGAACCGCAACACAATATTGCACTCTCTGTTCTTCTGATGCTACACAAAATCAAGTGAGTGACGACTTTGAAGTTCAATCTGTACCTCGTGTCCAAAATTCCATCACAAATTGAGCCAGAAAAGGAAAGTTTGTTGCAAAAAAAGAGAATTGAACATGAAAAAATCGTAATTTGATCGTGAAATGGAATAATTCCATAAAATCTAATACACGAGAATAATTTGAGTGGCGAGCAGTGTGTGGCGTGATTTAGGAAAAAAACGGGTAGTCATGATTTCATATAAAAGGAAACGATAAATTATAGCGTTTCGATGATGACGATGAGTTAAAAAACTCGCATATGAAGGAGATAAAATGGTCAAACTTACAGTAGAAATTCCACTCTGACGGGTAATTAAGTCCGATTTTGGTCATCGTTTTATCCGAGGAAGAATCTACAAGGGGAAGAAAAAAGTAGCGGTATTAACTTCTGTATTGCGTCATGTATGTAATCGGTGCAAGATTAGTGGTGTGTATGGCAGAGGACGACTCGTAATATTATTTCCTTGGTTAAATCCTCACTAAATTTCGAGATGTGACCACTTTACAGAATTCTATGTAAGCCGTACATTTACGGATTAGGGTTTGTTTACAAGACGACTTCTTTCACAGCATGGCGACACTTTAAGCTAATGTGCAGCAGGAACAATGAAAATGTGTCCGTAATTTTTCATATTTCGAGTATGTACAAATACAACTAACTAAGAATGGAGGTCTCCCAGCGTATGGTCTCCGATTTTGATCAAATTAGTGTCAATCGATCACAAATTTAATTACTATAATATTTGCAACACACACTATCTCCCGATGCTCACGTTTGGCAGAGATATTTGCATCCAAGGAGGAAAAAATGCGCCAAATTTACTGCATGTTTTATCGGGAGATACTGTTTTCTGTAAATGCAAATTTGCGGATGGTCAATCGTTATCGGAGAGCATGCGCAGGGAAACCTCGATTACAAGTATTTATTGGTTTCCTTTTTTGGGTGCTGGATAGATAGTCACAGATAAAAAATGAATAGCAAAACGGGGCCTGTGCGGAAAAGATGCAAACTCATTTCTGGGATTATTGGCATGTGCAAAAAAACTAGATGACATCCATCCCACCCGTCCAACAACCCCGCAAATCAAAGATTACTATGATTCTCTCCTGCGAAATGTGACCCGAACAGAAAGTAGGCATTATTAAAGCTATAGATTCCTCATGGCTCTCACTATTTTGGAAACGACTGCGGGGGAGTGGAAGCGTCTTGGGCGGAAACTGTGCCAGGCCAATGACCAAAACAGATTAATAATTTATCTATCTTTCATCAATTATAATCTCGTAGGAGAGCTGGCTGACTGACTAATCTGCATAAATTTATGCTGTGTTTTAAAATAACAATCGACCTTATTTTTCCGTGGGCGGTTATTTCTTCATTGTGTTTGCTTGGTCGTATCCCCACTTGAATTGAAAGTCTAACCTAATTCCAATATTGACAAATGTCGCACATATGCACCTTCGCTCACGGCCTCCTTGTTATCCATTTGCCAAACTATGACACTAATTTGGACACCTCTTACCATGCGGGATATAAATCAGGGTGTCAAAATTGAACAGGTAAATAAACAGTGTGCAAACTTTGTCGAGTCGTCGCTAATTTTGTGAGTGGCTGAGCTTGCAAAATGCTCATTTCGTGCTTATATTTATGTATGGAATAGTGGATGAGGCTCAGTTGGTCACGGAGATGAAATAATTCTCCCTCGAAGGAACGAAATGGGTGTAAAAAATTAATGACAATTCTCATTTTCGTATCGATTTTGTATACTAAAAGTGTCTCAAAATCAGAATGCCCTCAGAAAAATTGGGAGATTGCCATGGCTGAAAAAATCGCCTCGGGAAAGATGATAATTCCGCCTCCGAAGGACGCAATTTTGGCAAAAAATTGACCACAAGACTCAGTTTTCCATCTATTTCGACCAGATGAACTGTACAAACTAAGAATGGGTTTCGTATCCGGTTCAGAAAAACGGAGGATCGTCATGACCTGGACGACCACGGTAAAGATAATAATTCCTCTTCCGATGGACAAAATAGAGGCAAAAATTGACCAAAATCCTCTCCGTTCTATCCATTTCGACCACTAGAATTGTCCCAAAATCAAAATAAGCCGGGTGATCGCCACGACTGAAAAAAATGACCACGGTAAAGATGCTCTTCATCCATTTCAACCATATTTCCGTGTCTTACAAGCCCAATTTGTGTCTAAAGTGCATGCCCAAATTGTGATTGTGTGTATTGTGATGTCGTCTCTGTAGGTACCTACAAAAAAGATGCTCACAACAAGATGACGCCTTCCTCCTCCTCCAACTGAAATAAATACGAACTATTTTTTTCTCCTAATTTTGCCAACTTGATGATGACACTAGGACACGACAGGAACTCGTCTGCATACAAGAGCAATTATTATTTATTTTATCTGGGCCTGAATTTCCTCTCTATTTACAATTTCATTCTTGTCGAGACTGCATGTTTTTCCCTCATCCAATTTCAGTTGGACAAACACGCATTAACAAAAATTATCAAAGGAATCAAATTTCTGCCCATTTTTTGCACATTTGCTAGATATGTTTGCATTTTTGCTGTGTTTGCAGCCGGCAGGGCGGCGTCAGTGCAGACTTACATATTTTGTTCAATTCAACGACAAAAATATGCATACAAATGAAACTTGAACCGTTTTTATAATATTTATAATTTATGAAAACCAGAGTCCAAAAGTTAACAATTTGTAATCTGCGTCTCATTTCCATTTCGATTTCCGCTCTTTGTTTACATTTTACACGGTTTTGGTACTATTTTATTCCATGGAGAGAAAGATCTTATTACTTGAGTGTCATGCGGAAAGGATGTGCCTCTGGAAGTCATAGACCTGAAATGACCTCTAATCTCAAACTTGACATTGTACTGGATCACGACAAATCTACTAGAAAACCACGCCATCCTTTACGCATGACCATTTAATATACAATACTACAAATTTTCCGTATGTACTTCTTCTTCCCGATTACGTTGCACTCATCAAATTGCAGCTTATACGTAAATCCTCTCTCCCTCCGCATACATACATAGATTTAGGGTTGAGGTTAGTATTTTGCAAATCCTGTGAGGCGTGCCATTTTTAATGCACATTTCGCGAACCTAACTCAACACGACGATGTATGCTTTTCTGCCACATCAAGACTTCAAGACACGCAAAGTACATATACAAAAACAATCATCCACATACCATTCACGCAACCAGGTTTCTTCCACCAAATACGTGCTTTACTAGCGGAAATGAATGATCCCCACGACCATAAACACACACCAGAAGCATAAAATGTATGTACGTACGTAACGCTGCAGATTTACTGCAAATTTCGACTCCAGCCAGATTAGTGCACTCAGCACTCTGCAGCTGGTCGGTTTGCAAAACGGATGCGCGAAACATGACCCCGTGAACCTGAACGTAAATATGTAATGACATAAGAAGAAAACCAGGGATTTCGTTTCGCGAGGAGTGTAATGTAATTTATACGGGTGGAAAATTGGAAAAAATATGAAATTGCTATTATAATTTGACTCGACCGAAATACTAAAAGAAAACGTGCTGACGACGATTCGATTAGGATGGAATTTCAGCCCAGGGCAGAATTGAATATTGAATTATTTATCGTTCTCCTTCAGGTTTTAGTGTCCGTCGGGTTCGACGTGAATCTTACTGACTCGATAATTGGCTAAGTTACGAGGAGCCGGTGCAATTATCAATTTGCATCTCTTTTTACACGCAAGTATTGATTGATGATTGATTGGAGAAAAATTTGTAGTCGTCTTTTTCTTTTATTGAAAACAAATAAATTTTCAGGACAGGATTTATAAATATTTTTCAGTCTTAAGATACTTGACTCGATGGTAACTTGCGCCAATGTTATAATTCAACTATGGCGCAAGTTACGAAGGAGTGAAGTACGAACGTACCATCAGTTTATTTAACAGGGAGAAATTATGTCTATTACGTAAATATAAAAGATTACACTTGTACGCACAATATTTGAGCTGGAGAAGAGAGGAAGTATGTCAAAGTCAAATCAAAGTTGAATCGCAGCCTCGTTATTGTCTTCCTCCTGACATGCATACCAACCAACGACCGGAAGCTGATTCACAAACTTTGGACATGAGAACATGCACAAATAAGTCCACTGGCATAATAATTTCGTACTTAACATGTCAAACACGACGGGAATTACAAACTTGACGTGTGTCTGCCCAGTCTGGAAAGCCTGTCAAAATGGAAACGAGAATTCATGCAAATTCTCGCCTGATTAAAGAATTCCTTTATTAAAGCAAGGAGCCGAATTCCATCCGTATCCTGGTTTCGGAACAAGTTACATGTAGAAGTGGATCCATACTTTGGGGTCGTGCGGAAAGGGTGCAGGATCGATTTTTGGTACTATTGACGCCATGGATCCGGAGGACTCAGAATTTTAACGCTTTTTTCCACCCACTAAGCGCTTACATACTTAAAAACTGCACATTTCCCAGAAAAAGTAAGCCACATCCTTCCCGCACAGCTTTCCTCTTTGCTTCTTTCTGAAGAAGAGGAGAACTTTGTGTGGAATGGAATGGAATCCCAATAATTTAACAACGTGCCTAGATTAGATTCGCCATGAAGGGCAAACAAAATTTCACACTTTACACCCCTTCTCCATGCAAGTTGCCCATTTCGAATTACGCTACCTTTTCCTTTCTATGTATTTAATACCTATTTAATCTCCCGTGATCCGAATAATGCATGCCGGCAGAAGGAGGAACAACCAACAAAAGCATGATGCGAATTCTTCCAAGTGTAGTAATGGGACTGACTTTAGGAAAATAATTCGCTTTTATTCTTGCCGTGCGAGGAATAAATGTTGGGCCGTGCGAGAGGGGAATGGGGCCATTTTGAGACTAAGGAAAAGTGGCGAAAAGAGGGGACATCCCTTTCGTACGTCCCAGACGAATAAAACTCCCCGTGTTCTTATTATTATTATCCTCCCCGTTACGAAATCCTCCACACATTCGAAAATAAGAAAGACAGGGATTAAATTTATCGTGGAAAAGAAAAACAAGATCGTCGCCGTTGTCGTTTTCCATAATCCAAGAAGACCCAGTGTGTGTAGGAATGATTTTTGTCGGGTTTTTAACATTGCAATTTTGTAGTGTTGACATGTAAAACTCACATGTAGCAAAAAAATGCCGTGTTTAATACGTGTTTTTGAATGAATTTTTGTGTTTTTCAAGTTGCAATTTTGTGGTGTTAACATCATGCAAAACTCAAATTTTGCAAAAAAACGCCAAGTTTTTTGAGCAGGCATAAATTTCTTGTGTTTTTTCCGAA